ACAGTCTTAGGAATTGGACACTAACACACCAAAGAGCATTGACCAGTTAAATAAAAATTATCTGTACTTTAAAAGAGATTGTGCAATCTGTCCTTTTTCCCTGTTGTACCTGGTGTTGATGTCTCCAATTGAGTCAACATTAGTTGATTAGTTTTTTTCTCTATTGTGGTGTTTGATATTTTCACCACAAATCCTTAATATTGGCTCCTTTTCCCAATTAGCAACACCTCTTCGGCCTACTTAGGAAAGGGGGACCAAACTGCTTTATTTTGATTATGAAAGTAGGTATTTACAGGATACTGATTAGTGTTATTGGTACAGACTCTGATCTCAAGCTATCTGGGCTCAGATCCTAGATCTGTCTCCACTCTTATCTGGCCTGTTGCATAAACTTCAGCCATTAACCTGGTTTGCTTCCATTTTCCCATTTCTAAAATGGCATTGGCAATAGCAGTATGCTAGAGGGTTATTGTGATCATTGCATGTGTCATTACACATGCTGAGCATGTAGTGGTCAATAAATGCTAGGTCTTATCATTTCCTAATACCCTTGTGTTCATGTCTTTATCCTCTTTGCTCATGGTTACTCACATCAACATTTCTATTCCAGTCAATCAGGCTTTGTTTCAGAGTCCTTCCCAGACACCTATGCCACCCCCTTTCCTATTTCTGAGCACAACTCAGGCTGTTTTCACACAGGGGCATCCCATTCCATGTCCTTCAGGGTTCTGAGTAACCTTTGCTTCCTTTTGAAAACTTTCATATTTCATGTAACTTCTTGGGTAATTTAATACTCAGAAACCCATCTTTTGACTCTCACTCTATAACAATTTAAAATCACTGTACACCAGGCCAGCGATTGTCTGGCTTGGGGGTTAGGCAGTGTGTTTTAGGAGAGAGTGCTGGTCTGGGAAACATGAGAACTAGTCTCTGTGCTCCACTCTGTACTGGCACCTCACACCTCGATCCGGATGACCCTTTCACCCAAGTCTCCTCATTATGAACAGGAGGGTCTTTATGATTTTATGGAACTTTATCTGTTCATGGTTTTCAATTCAATCCTTCCTGAACTGCTAGTTCGAGCCATGGTTCATACTACGTACTTTCAATCATTCATCATATTCATTGTCTGTCTTAGGTTATGGGGATCCATGGGAGTCAAGACAGGCTATATTCTAGCTTTCACGGAATTTGCCTAGATAAATTTTATGGAATCTTTTGGAGGCAGGACTCAGTGCTCCAGTTTTTGCAGATTCAGACCAGATAGTTAAGCGCAAGTTCACTGTCCAACAGCTAGTGAATGGCAGAGTCAGCACCTGAACCCTGGTCAGAATTACCCTAAGGTTAGCTCACTCCCCATCTAGCATCCTTGCATGGAAGTGAGTCTGAGACCTTCTAAAGTGGGATCAACTTTAGGCAGGTGCGGGGTGTGGAGCTGAGAGGTCAGATGTATGTCAATAAGGGCTGATACTGCCTTGATCAGTGTGGCTCAGCTGGTTGGAGCAATGTTTTGTAACCTGAAAGGTTGTGTGTTGGATCCCTGGTAGAGGTGTGTATAGGAGGCAGTGATGGATGTTTCTCTTTCACATTGATGTTTCTCTCCCTTTGTCTCTCTCACTTTCCTTCTCTCTCAAAGCAATTAAAAATGATGAGGATAAAAATAATAATAAAAAGGGCTCACACTGACTTCACTTGATGTGAGGTCTGGGAGTGAGGATGGGGAAAGTAACAATGAAGGAGGAAAACACAGGTGTGTTGTGGGTGAGGGGTATGCAGAAGTGCCTGTGAATCTCTGAATGTGCTGCTGGCTCCTCCTATGGCCTGACAGTCCAGTTTGCAGACTCCATTCCACTCAACTGCAGAGCTGCCTCTTTAGCTAAGACCTTCCACCCCAGCAGTCCATAAGTCACTTACCTCTGTCCTTGTAATAGTCCATGACTTCTTTCAGGTTCTTCAGAAAGAAGTCCCCCCTGGCCTTCTGATGTTTACTGACTTCCTCCCAGTCCTCCATTCCTTCTACTTGTTTCCATGGGCCTCGGGGCTCAGCCTTTCCACTTTCATGATCATAGTGAAAGAAGGCCTGGTCATTGAGGTAGCCAGTGGCCTGAAAACTGGGGAAGCCTGCCTCAGGCCCGGATATTCCAATGGAATGGAAGGTCAGAGAATAAGGCCCTGCAAAAGAGGAGAAAAGATTCAGATGTGGGGTCCACACAGAGGAATCCCACAGTGGCACAGCAGAGGACAAGGAAGGGAGGCCTGGTCACTGGGCTTCCTCCTCCCCAGCTCTCACCACGCTGTTGTCAGCCACATACCCTTGGAAGCTCACGTGAGAGAAGGGGCTCTACTTCTATTCTGGGGATGATATTTCAGAGACAATGTTGTCTTTTCACTTCACTGTTTTGTTTCTTAGCCCATGAGAGATAATATTTCTCAGTCTTCTTGTAGGTATATTGCGACCATGACTGAGTTCTGTCAAAAGGGAATGTGAGGGAAAGTGATGTCTTTCTTCTGGTCAGAGGCCTGCAAGCTGGTTTGAACCCTTTGTCTCTCTTCATTTAGGTGATGACTGTGGAGGCCAGAGGATGAAGAAGAGGGTCCCAAAATGCAAACCACCTAAATCCTTGAGTCATCCCTGGGAGCACACCAAGTTGACTGATGTGTATTCATCTTTAAATGAGCAAGAAATAAACATTTTTTGAGTGAAGCCACAAAAAAGTGTCCTTGTCACTGGAACATTACCTAGTTGAACCTGACAAATACATACAGTTAGAAAGTGTAGGAAAGAGAATTGACTAGAAACCTCAGGAAATGACCTGGATTGGATCAGCATAAAGTAAGAACAGGATGGAGTTCATATATACCAGGGTTGCCCTTGCTTCTCTCTCCTTTTTTTTTTAGAAGAGTCCCTGCAATTTTGTGTGAGTAAGGGAGTGGTAGATGGTTGGAGCATTTTCATAATTAATTTTAAAATGGTTTCCTGATAGAACTCTCATAGGTGATACTAATTTTAGAGGTCATATAGCAGATTTCCAGTTACACTAATGAAGTTAATCTCTTAGTTTCTGAATATGATTATGATTTCACTTAGTAGATATTGATGAAGCAGGTTCCACTTTGTAATGTGGGTGAGCCTCCTTTAATCAGTTAAAGACCACAAGAGAAGAGACTGAAGTGTCCAGAAGAAGAAGGAATTCTGCCTCCAGACTGCCTTTGGACCCAAAACTAAACACCACATCTCCACATCTCCACTGTGCTGACCAGCCCTGCAGATTTCAGACTTGCAGCCCCCACAGTGCTGTGAGCCATAAGCTTGAAAGAAATCTCTCTTTCTGTGCACATATGTAGCATTCATTGCATTTCTCTAAAGAACCCTGACTAAATTACATTTTGGTGTAGGATGTGATTGATAGTCTAAATAGGATCAATTGTCATAAAAGATATATTCTGACAGCTTGTGAATGCAATAAATTCTAAACTTGTACAATTTAGCTTACATCATCCTGAAATTTTATAGGCCAAGAAAAGCCTCACTACTCTGTCCTAAAATTGACCCTAGTTCTGCCCGACCTCCATCTGGTTTCTTTCCCAGTCTCTAGCCTTCCAGGTCCACTGTTGTAGTGACTAACTGTGGAATGAGGGAATGGCTTTGTTTCTAGAAGCATCCTCCAGTTAATATGCTAATGTGTTTTTACAAGTGCTCTTCGGAGTTGCCATATTTATTTCTGAGAGTCAGATAAGTGCATCCAGCTATTGGAAGGAAGGAGGAACAGAAAGTTCCAGCTGTGTGGCCTCTGCCCTGTCCTGGCTGTGACCTAGGACAAGTCACTTCACTTGTCTACATCTTAGTTTTGTTCATTTGTCTACTAAGAATTTTTAATTCTAATTATTTAAGGCCTTATTTAATATGGGTCCAGAAGGTCTCTAAATTGCTTCTAGAAGCATGTGAGCTGAGTTAGCTGACAGCCTGGAACACCCATTCCTACCATACACTGGGAATCCCAGCTTCATCTGGGTTCCTCTCCCAGCACATCTGTCTTATTCATTACCTACCCTCTGTTCTCCTCCATACCCAGCCCTTGCTTCCCAACTTACCATCTTGGGTTTCCTGGGGGACTGCAGGACCCAGAACAAGCAGAAGGGACAGCAGGAAAGGCAACATCATGCTTGTTGTATCTGGGTGGAAGGTTCTGGACTTCCCATGTCCCGGAGCTGACTACTTGGAAGGAGTGCCAGGTGTAGTTCCAGGAATGGCTGGGCTTTTATCCCTTCCCTGGTGAGGTGCCAGGATGGGCTCCTTTCCTGACTGTGACAAAACAGGATAAACAGGGCAGTCCAGGCTGGTTGGTTTTCTCAGTGAGTCTACAGACAGTTTGCCACTGGAGAGTCAAGATATGACCTGGTGTGGGGACTTTGTCATGGGTCCATGCTACAGCGTTGGTTGCCCTGTTGGCAGCAGCTTGTGTTTACAGAATGAGTTCCACGGTGTGATTTGGTCTGTGCTTCTCCCACCTAATTCTGAGTCTATCTATTGATTCTGAGAACTAACTGGTGATTCTGCTTATAGTCAGAATAGGAATGTGTTTCGGTAACTGATGGTGTCACTGCTACCAAAATTGGGACAGGATGTTTTCAGGCAACAGTCACTCCGGGAAATGGAGGGAGGGGAACCAAGGTTGCTTATGGGGCCAGACTGGGGCTAAAGGCAGTTTAAAAACTTATGTTGGGCATGTTCTTGCAAGCCTGATAAACAGTGGAGGGTCAAACAGGTGACTGAGTGGTAGACTAGAATAAAATGCTCAGGAAGGCAAAATATTAGGTGCCAAGCAGCTGCTACCATAGGGCAGTGTGAAGAACTTGAGAAATGCAAGGACAGAGTCTGTGATGATCGAGTCCATGGGGCTGGAAAGCTTAGAGAAGAAGAAAATCAACTCAAAAGCAGAAAATATTGACTCAAAGCACAGTCTGAAAATCAGGTGATTTCTATAATAGTGCCAAAAGAAAATTTTGGCTTTTCTAGTTTTAAGGATGAAACTGACAAAAACTTAATTTGTCAGTTTAATGATAAATTAAAAAGTGCTTAATGATTTAAACCTAAGAACAGAGATCCGACCAAGATGGAGGTGTAGGTAGAAACCCTCCGCTTCCTCTCACAACCAAAAGAAGGATAACAACCAATCTAAAATCAATAAACAACCAGAAGCACCAGAAAAATCAAAATGCATGGAACTCTGACAACCAAGGAATTAAAGAAAAAAATCAACCAGAACAACCAGACAGGTAAGGCGGACCCCGCCTGGTGGGCAACTCAGAAAAACTGCTGGGAGGTGGTTGAGGGGTGGGGCTGACTGTCAAGTTCTGGGGAACCGCTGCGTGGGAGAGACTGACTTAAGGGGAGAACCGATGTCATCTCACCTTTAACAGGAACCTAAACAACAAACAAACAAGCAAAGTATAACCAAAGACACTGACACAGAGAACAGGTTGACAGTGATCAGAGGGGAGAGGGGAGGGAATTTCAGGGGCAAAGGGGAAGAGTTTACAGAAACAAGTATAAAGGACACATGGACAAAAACTGGACACATTTACAAAACATGGACACATGGGGGGGTTGGAAATGGGAGGGTGGTGGGGAGGACTGGGGGGTGGGCTGGGATGGGAGTAAAAGACTGAAAACTGTACTTGAACAACAATTAAAATAAAATAAAAATGAAAAAAGGGGGGGGGGGAACCGAGACTCAGAGCTGACTGTGGGCTATGGCTGGAGTTGCCTTGGTGAGAGATACTTCCCGTCTGACTCAAGAGTCTGGTGCAAAGTGCTCTAGAGACTAGCAGGCAAGATGCATTGCTCCCTCTCTGGCCCCTCTCCCATAGGCAGTGCAGCAAAGAGGGTTACCATGCCAGGTGAATACCTAACAACTTCCCAGGTACACCAAGACAAAGAAATATGGCCCAAATGAAAGAACAGAGCAAAGCCTCAGAACTAACTGATGAGGATGTTGCCAACCTAACTGATGGAGAATTTAAACCCCTGGTAATCAAAATGCTCACAGAACTGATTGAGCTTGGTCAAAAAATGAAAGAACAAGTGAAAGATACCCAAAATGAAATAAAGCAGGATATTCAGGGAACCAACAGTGACAAGAAGGAAACCAAGATTCAAAGCAATGATTTGGAACAAAAGGAAGAAATAAACATCCGGCTGAATCAGAATGAAGAAACAAGAATCCTAAAAGATGAAGAGAGGCTGAGGACTCTCTGGGGCAACCTGAAATGTTCCAATATCTGAATTATAGGGGTGCCAGAAGGAGAAGAACAACAGCAAGAAATTGAAAACTTATTTGAACAAATAATGAAGGAAAACATCCCCAATTTGGCAGAGGAAATAGACTTCCAGGATGTCTAAGAAGCCCAGAAAGTCCCAAAGAAGTTGGACCCAAAGAGGAGCACACCAAGTCACATCACCATTAAGTTACCCAAGATTAAAGACAAAGAGAAAATCCTAAGAGCAGCAAGAGAAAAGGAGACAGTTACCTACAAAGGAGTTCCCATCAGACTATCAGCTGATTTATCAAAAGAAATCTAATAGGCAAGAAGGGGCTGGAAAGAAGTATTTGAAGTCATGAAAGGCAAGGACCTACATCCCAGATTGCTCTATCCAGCAAAGCTTTCATTTAGAATGGAAGGGCAGATAAAGTACTTCCCAGATAAGGTCAAGTTAAAGGAGTTCATCATCACCAAGCCCTTATCATATGAAATGTTAAAGGGACTTACCTAACAAAAAGAAGAAGACAAAAAATATGAACAGCAAAAGGACAACAAACTCATAACTATCAACAAATGAACCTAAAAAAAAGAAAAGCAATGAAAACAAAAACTAAGCAAACAGAACAGGAACAGAATCAGAGAAATGGAGAGCACACAGAGGGAGTTCAGTGGGGAGGGGGAAGGGAGGAATAGGGAGGAAAAGGTACAGGGAAGAAGAAACATAATTAGTAGGCATAAAATAGATGGGGAAAGATAAAAAAAATTGATTCAGACACCTGCCTGCAGTGTCCACGTCATTATGGATGAAATGAAACATTCACATGGACTACCGAGTCCTGTGGAGGAAAAGGGATGACACAGCTACCCTCTCAAGGGGAGGGTGCTTCAGAGCAGCCTGGCCACTCTCTCAAGAGGAGAGAGTGCGCACACACCCTTGCCTAGACCCAGGCTTTTATTTGGTTTAATTTGCACAGGAATACAGGTACAGCTTATTAATTATTGTCAGGCAGGAAGGATCAAACGATAGCATATAAAGAACTACTAGGGCTCATTCTGAGTCAGGGTCTATCAGCTAAAAGGCTACAAAACTTTGGGAAACAAACTCATTTCCTGCTCAGGCCTTTATCATTTAATTAAGAGCATTCTTAGAAAAGCAGGTTTCACAGGAGTTTATTTATTCTTTCTCAGACCTGATTACTTAGGGAACCTGCCCTTTCCAGCACAGGGTTGCACCACCCTCTGTCATTGTTTCAGGCTTAAGTCAGGTAGAGGAGGCAAGATAGCCAAGAAATTAGGAGACTTCTCACAGACAGAATGAAAACTCAGGCTATGTCAAAGCCGAGAGGTGAGGGTCCATCACCCCCTTTTGCTGTAGCCTCCCAAGTCCTTCCCTGGGGCCTCCACGTGATCATGCCTATCTCAGGTGGTTCCCCCCTTGGGGAATCTTACCTGTCATTGGCTAACTGATCAAGCATTGGGGGCCAGTTATGGAAAAAGGAGCAGAAGTGGCACTCCTGCCAGGGAGATAAGCTTTGTCTCCTTAATGGCTTATGGTCTGAAGGTTGCTCGCTCAGCCTTAGCCATGGCGGGGTTACAGCTCTTGAAACCAGGCAGGGTGGTTCCCAACATAAAATGGTATAGAAAACAGAGGACTCAAAGAACTTATATATACAGCCCATGGACATGAACTAAGGCGGTGGGGGGAGGATAATGGAGGGTTGGAGGGGCAGGGTGAAGCGGGGATAAAAGGGGAAAAATTGGGAGAACTGTAATAGCATAATCAATAAAAAATACTTTAAAAATAAACCTAAGAACAAAAAATGAGTTTTCATAGCTTAATCACAAAAACTTAAAATATTTTGTAAAATAGCCCAGCGTGATCAAGACATTCCTTCACATCTTTCATAATTGCTACTAATGGTGGGTGACGACAAGAGCTTAATCAGAGGAGGAAGTTGAGTGTGGAATGATGTCAAAAAAGGCTTCATGAAAGGTGTTGTGATTAAGCAGGATGTTGACAGGGACAGAATTTCTGTTGGCAGCAGGTGGCAAATTTTAGAAGGATAGCGATAATGTGTGTTAATGTTCATCTCTGTCCCTAGTGCCTCGCCCAGTTCCTGGCAGAAAGAAGACAATTAATAATACTTACAAAAATAGATCAAAGAATAAATGAGCAACAATCAAAAGGAATGACACCAAATCTATCTGAGGGTGATTGAGGCCAATATGGAGGAAAGAGAGCTCAGAAAGAAAACTGAGGGTATGGCAGGTGGGGTGATATATTCAAAAGGGAGTTGGAGTCAGATTCCTGAGGACTCCCATCCAAAGAACATCCAATGTCTTCCAATGGATCAGGCACATTTTACTGTTGCATCTTTTCCTTCATAGCCTGTACTGTCTGCATACTCCATTCCTCTGCATTACCAGTTCTTAGCCTTCTAGGCCATCTACTCACTTGCTGAGACAAATTTTATTTTTTCCTAATTAAAAAATGTATTTATTTATTTTTTCTTTCAAGATAATTTTTAATGCATTATAAATAAAACACATAGGAAAAAAAGGAAGCCAGTTACATGGAAATGTAAGCGTTGACATGCATCTTTGTGGCCTGATGGGTGGTTTGCAGAGGGGTCCCCCAGATACAGAGCAACATGCTATCCTAAAGTGACTGAGCATTTGTTAAGGAGATAATTTGTGGCAAGGAGGCTCTCCTGGGGTGGGGTTTCCTGAAATTGCACTTGAAGGTGGTCCTACCTGCAGAGGAAGCTGTTGGTGTTCTTTGTTGGGTGGGGAGGAGGTGGCTTGGAAAGACCCACATTGGTTCTCTGGACCCCCTTTATCCTCCCTGGTGTACCCAGTAGATCCCCATGGCTTGGTCCCAAATTCCGGTTACATCCCTGTCAGGACCATGTGACCCTCCCCTCTCAGCTGCCTCACATCCTCCTGCTCAGCAACACTCTTTCTACCTGTTTTTGGCAAGCTGTGTTAGACCTTCACACCTTCTTGGAAACCTCAATACCTGCAGATTTCTCTGGGTATGTGAGTGGCTGTGTGTCCTCTCCTCCTCTCTCCCATAGCCTGCCAGGACTCCAGTCTTTTGAGGTTT